CCGCATATCAACTAAATGGAGCTAAGAGCTTCAGGTAGGGGTTTCGATGGCGACTTTCTATCAACCATTATTCAGTGTGCACCGTAAAACCGAAACATATTGACTTGCAGCATGATCCGTCATTGCTGGACCTTGTCCTCACACATCATTGTGACGATATCATCGATATCCAGCGCCTTCCCTCACCAGTGAATAGTGATCACGTAGTTTACTTTAAATTTCGGATACATGGTATATAATATGTACCTGCTCCACTCCGTCCAAATATCTGGTGAACTAATATTTCGGCAGTCAAAGACTGTGCTATCTTAAATAACTGGTCGGATCGATCGAAGAAGAATGGAAAACGTTTAAGGCTACATTCCAGTCCGTAACAACACCGTTTCAACATGTATGCTATTACAGTGCTCTCCATGGATTAATAAAGAAACCCAAAAGCTGTTGATACGTAGAAAACACTTCTTGTCAACAGGGCACACATCATTTAAGTGTGAATACCGAAAAATCTGGAATATATGTGAAAAGACTATAGCTATATGCCGTACTATTTACAAAAGACAGTTGGCATATGATAGCCGTGCTTGCCCCAAATGATTGTTTTCGTACTTTAAACAGCAAACCAAACGTACTGATGGTGTTCCCCCGTTACTGTTACACGAAAGTTCTGATTTACTAGGTGAATCAGATTAGGCAAAAGCTGAAAAATTTTCAAATTATTTTGGCGAAGTCTACTCTACGTTTATTGCAACAAATACTTGTCCCAATCACACCGAGATACCAGTTATAGAACATGTACGTGTGACTGAGGAAGCTGTTCTTCCATTGATCAGTAACCTCAAACCTTGTAAAGTATCGGGCACTGATATGTTACATGCACAGCTACTGTCATCTCCTGAGGACATTATTTCATAACCAGTCGTGACGCTCTTCAGCATGTCACCGTCACTCGGTCAACACCCTAGAGATTGGAAAGATGCTATAGTCAGTCCGATACTAGAGGATGGTTAGAGACAAACCACATCCAACTACCAACCTGTCAGTCTAACCAGCATAGGCGTTAAGTTACTTGTAAAGATGATTCGGATCAAGTTACCAAGTTACATAGGTTAGTATAATCTATTAACTCCCGATTTCGAAACAAGAATTCATGCTCAACCAACTTTTTATGAGAGAGGATTGGACAGCAGCCTTAGACAACGGTATGTTTGTCGATGTGATATTCATGGACTTTAGCAAAGCGTTTGACAAGGTTTCACACCTAGATTTTATACAGAGGCTCTCGAGCTTGGGAATAACAGGTGCTGTTCAGGAACGGACAGGAAACTTGTTATGTGACCACAGGCAGAGAGTAATAGCTAATGAGACGCTATCCCAATGGAAGCCGTTAAAAAAGGTTTGCCCGTGGTACTATCTAAGTTCCCTTATCTTTCCTTCTGTATGCCAATGAATTACCACGATTGCTTAAGTCGTCGACATTGTTTGTGTGTGATGTCAAAATCTGAGAAGCAATAAGCTGATAATTTTGATCTCCAAGCTGACCTAGACGAATTCATTAGACGGGCTCGAGGTTGGTACTTAGAAGTTAATTCTAGGAAGAGTGTATCCATGCATACCGGACACGGTAATGGTTACTGTTGATTGTGAATTTCTCTCATGCGTCCGAGAACATAAAGACTTAGAGGCAATAACAAGTCACGACTTGAAAACAACTATGCATTGCGGCGCAACTAGTGCTAAAGAGCTTCGTACGTTTTGGTCACTTCACCGATCAATCAAATGCTTTGATGAGGAGATATTTCGGAGTTCATATCACAGCAACGTAAGACCACAATTAGAGCACTTTGTTCAAGCAACTGGCCTAATTAATGATACTAACTCACTTAAGCGTGTTCAGCGTGTGGGAACAAAATCAGTGATGGCTCTTTCTATAACTTTCTTACAATGAACGCTTAAAACGCTTAGACTGTTTCCCCATATCGTATCGCAGGATGCGAGGTGACCTAATATTGGCATTTCATATCTTTAATTACGACTTGAGTGTTCATATGTCTTATATTTTTGCTCTCTCCAGCACTAATAATCTCCGAGGTCATAGCAAGTAGGTTCACAAACCGCGATCTAATAAACTCGAAGTGGACTTCCGTTTTTTCATCAAGTGGTCAGGGACTGAAACGCCTTACCCAAACAAATGGTATAAGCCCAGTCAGTGAGCGTTTTCAATGAGAAGCTGGACCTTCACTGGAAGGCAAACACTCAGGATTAATGCAGGTCAACCAACCTACTATCCCTATTACTGAAGACAAGTCTATTATGTGGAACCTTGAAGAATGGTTTGTTGTAACCAATGTAGAAAACATCCACTGTTTTTCTATTATCTAGTAACTCTGTCCAACTCTCAAAACGTTTGTTATTTCTGCTACTCAAAACACAAAGTTTTGAATTTCAGCGGTACTTAGTTTTCAGTCATCGTGGTCGTTGTATCGTAACGTTTCTTAATTTGACTCTTATAATTGTTACCTACTTTCGTCTCTCGTGACTATGATTGCCAAATGATTGAAGGTCTTGTATATAATTTAGGAGTCAATCCAGGTTTTCAAAACTTTTTGGGGAAATTTGATCCGTTTTTTCCGAAGCAACCAATAAAGGGGAAATAAAGGCGAATAAAGGAGAAATAAAGCGGACTAAAGCGCAAATAAGGGAGCATTGTCGGTTTTTCCCCCTTACGTCGTGTATTTAGGGGAAATTTATCGACAATTGGGAGATTTTGGGAAAGCCGCCATAGAACAATTTGGGGAATATTCCAGGAAATGGCACAAAAACCCCAAAATTTCCACAAATCTGGGGAAATTTCCTAAACTTTTGGGGCTTTCCCCAGAATCTTACTACCTTTTGGGGAAATTCGCCTATATTTATTGATAAAACCCCAACATTTTGCGCAATTTCGGGGAAACTGTAAATGAAAGTTCAACATCAAACTGATGTACTTATTCAAAACGCATGAGCAATTGCTAAGAATTGGGGGAAGTAATGTATTAATGGAAAATTTGTACATTGTTAAACTTGGATAAAGATTTCTATGTACAACACGTCAGTCTTTTAACTGCGGCGACAGATCGGTTCTCGTTATGAATTGTGGTCAAATTGCTTCGGCATTGCGTTTACTGTGCAAAGTTGACAGGAAAAAATGGAATACATGAGTAGGAACCTTTGGGTACTTACTATTGAATCGTCAGGCTTTTTATTGATACCTGTAGAAAATTGTGAAGAAATATTGCGTTAAAACGACATATTTTGAATAGTTTCCCCGAAATTGCGCAAAATGTTGAGGTTTTATCAATAAATATAGGCGAATTTCCCCAAAAGGTAGTAAGATTCTGGGGAAAGCCCCAAAAGTTTAGGAAATTTCCCCAGATCTGTGGAAATTTTGGGGTTTTTGTGCCATTTCCTGGAATATTCCCCAAATTGTTCTATAGCGGCTTCCCAAAAATGGGGAGATTGGGTTGGGTTTACACAGATCTCAAGACCTCTTTTCAAAACAGCTTACGTTAGTGTACAACCCTTTCTTTATATCATAACTTTATGATCCATATCTATCTAATTATAAATTTATGTCAGCATTCAGTGCAACTTATATCATGACTCAGAAAACCCTTCATTGGTCGGTAGGCAATAACTATAACAACCAGACATATAGCGGTTTAACACCGCGTATAAAATTTCCGTATACCCCATATTTACCCGACACTATATCGGGTAAAAGGTTAACCTGAATCAATTTATTTTGAATATATTGAATCGTGACGGTAGAACTAGTAGAATTTATTTTAATACAGCTATGAGTGGTTCAAGTATTCGGGCTTTTTCTATGGAAGTTGATAACAAAAACATAGCAGTTAAGGATGACTCTTGTTATATGGAAAAACAGGTTGTATACTGCAAGTATTTGCGAAAATAACCCAGAAAACACTTTAGTTATAGTGAGTAATCTAGACCCAAATATCAATTTTTAGAAAAAGTACTGTAGGTGGTATATTATCTGTTGTTGAAATAACCTCGAGAGAATTCGATCTTATTAAGTACTTAACCGTAGCATCTGCTGCTATGGGTACGTACTGCAACAGTTTTATATAAAAATATAACTAGCCTACACTTTCAATAAATGCAGTGAAGCATCTAAATTATGTATATCATAGCTTGTAATGGATTCACCTGAACCCAAAACTCAGTCTATAATGCCATTGTTTATCTTACCTATGTTTTATGACTGAAAATTTGATCCCATGAATTAGCGTAGTTTTTATATATACCTATAAAGAATCTAATGTAAGTAAACTATGATATATCATTCACTTCCTGTTTCTGTGATGCCTTCATTTCATATTCATCCACTTTTCTTGAAACTTGAAAGGATATTGACGGAAGTTGACGATCTTGACTATTTCTCCCTTATTTATCCATTCGTACTACTACATATCTAGATAAGGTGTTAACTAAACCAATTATTTTGACATCTATTTGGTTATATAGCCACAAAACATATTGTGCTATCTGACTTAAAGGGACTTCGTCCACAAATTCTTTATCGTGTTTTTATTTCTAAGGTGGTTATCTTGTTTTGATACTTTGAAATTTTCTTTTCCAAGAAATTATTTCTGTTTGTAGAAGTACTTATTGAATATTTTCGACTCCTCACCTTTTTCTATTCACAAACCACTTAGTGGATCCAAGTAACTTTCATAAGTTACAAAAATGTTTCACGAAGTAACTAGGTGTTATTCCGTTTTGTACGCTGCAACGCAAAATTTGGCCGTGTTGATTCGACTTGTAAAGTATGCAACTTTCAACTATCTGGTCTCTAAGCTTTATTGACAAATTTTACTCAAAGTCTAAACATAAATTTTCTTTTCTGACCCTATTTTGTTTATTGTTAAACCCAAACTAGTGTACCAACTGACGAGGATCACAATAGTTCGTCAAATTATTGTAAATTCACATGGAGAATGTTTAGCCAGCGAAGTACGTAAGTCTTACTCAAATTAATATTTGTTTTACTTTAGATTCTGTTTACACTCCCTGGCCAAAGTCTGAAGAATTTTCGAAATGTTCTCATTGTTTAAACACTTATTTCACAATGTCTTCTTCTCGGCATATTTACTATGTCGCTCGTGAAATGTTTCCCGCCTGTCTTTTGGCAGGTGTTGGAATGGTAGTTGCGGGATGTTATATTGATATGCTGAAGTCCTCCGTATGGTCATCATTAATAATTTATATTCTTGTAGGGCACTTTAACTTCGAAAGAGGAAAGTATTTTTGAGATCATTCCACCAATTCTTGGACTGAAAGGAAATTTAGAAGTTGCTCTTTCCTCTCGATTAGCTACTGTGGTTTGTTTGACATTATGTTTTCCTAAAACTTTTAGGTTCATTTCCGAAGAAAGCTTAACGAACTATCTTTCTGGTTGTTCACAACTACTCTGGCTTTTATACTTGTTAAGCGTCTAAATTTGTTATATATATCTTAATAGGTTCTTGCTGTGTTTGCAAGCACAATTATACCTTTAGTGGTAATAACGTTACATAAATCATCGGGTACATCTCATTTCCCTGTTGATCTTGTTCATCTTATCTGCATTTCATCAATGACTTGCATTTGTGCCACGTGTTTTATAGGCAAGTGTTCAATTTCTATTGCTCAAAATTTTTAAAGGCGTTGTTGTTTACGCAATAGTATGTGCTTGCGTCTTTTGCGGAGCGAATCCTGATAATGTTGCTCCACCCGCAGCCGCCGCTTTGGGTGATCTTGTGACTGTTTTGATTATTTCACATGTGAACTATTACTTTATCGTGCGTAAGTTTTTTATTTGTATTTATTTTATACAACTAATCTACTCTTACTCACTCCTCAATGCAATAGTTTATAACTTGTATTCAGTCACTAATAGGCTTCCCAAAGTGTAGATTTTCCAGTTTTTACTAATAAACGAACAGTGTTGCTTAATATATAGCAATAGCTTTCCGTAAAATTCACCATGTCAGAATGGTGAAGGTTCTCTATGGCCAGAGAGTTTCTCGAGTTCGATTGTCACGTCCATTTTGATATGGATACCTCAATTTTCGTAAATATTTGACCCAAATAAATATTTCTGATAAATGTAAGTCGTCACGCTTTTGATTTTAGTTGTCAAGTAAAATTTGAGCCACCTTGATAAGTTATATGAAAGCTTTGAATTTAAGTGTACTTATTCACAAACCTTAGTGACTTCTTATTTTAAAATTATTGTTCGTATACATTTGGTGTTGTCCCCATATATATTTATTCTATTACAGTGGTCATCAACACCGTTTTTCTAATGTCCTGCGTTTTATTTGTTTCCATTTGGTTTCACACATCTTGGGAAGTCATATATGACTTAGTGATTATCCCATTAAGTACTGTCGGACAAAAAAATATTTTTCGATTCGTTCTTCATCAAAACCGTACACTAATACATGGGTTTTTAAATTAGATATCAATCAATACCAAATAAATAATTGTACATCATAATTAATCCGATTGTACAATCGCCTGGTTTTACGCCCAACATAACTGGCTCCATAAAAGCAGTTGGAACAGTAAGTATACTTAAAGGCAGTGGAACTGGCCAGTTGTTTTACTTGAGCGCACTTTTGGCTGGCCGACGAAGGAAGGGTATAATCTTGCAACATTAAATGTTCGGATTTCTGAGCATCAGCCTACTTCGTTGGTCGAGGAACAAAATAAAACGATGGGAACTCTATTCTGGGACATTTAGTCAATACCGATCGCCCCTTTGGCAAACATTTTGCTTTATATATATATGTAAACCAACAGGTAAATGCAAAAACTAAGTTATCGCCTTGACAACTGATTAATCTGTGATTGAATTTCTAAGAATACAAAGTAATGTTACGCTAGATTAATCCACAACTTATCTTAGAAGCTCATTTACTAATATTATGAAAGCAGAAGATTCACAATCATCAAAACAATAGTTACTTTACTGAATCACGCTCAGTATCATTTTAGCAGTTATTCATACTTCATGACAGGTGATTGAAATATCTTGTAAAACGTACGGGAATGGTTCAACTGGTCTGCAGCAGCGGTCTAGTTCCTAGCGATTAGACTTCCACTAAGGTTGAAATAGCTTCAACGAACTTAAAACAAGACGTAGCAACAAAACCTGACTGCCGGTCTACATAGTTTATCGAAGATCACGTTCTGGTGTCATTCCATTTGATGTAATAAATAATTTATGGGAATCAGTAATAAATTCTCTAGACTAATTTCGATCCTTGATCATTTAGTTTCATAACAAAACGCAAAACACTTTAAGAGAACCACACGGAAATCATTTTACTTAAATTGTCATCATCTGTGGCTCCAGATGTCAAATCACCTATTAAGGAGTATTTTGTGAGGAGCTTCCCTCAATTTAAGTCACGTTTACAAGTAGATTTTGATTTTTAACTCACCCAGAACCTCCCTTCAGAATTTATTTGTTGTCTCAAATAGTTTTAGTTTGCTAAATGGTTTTTTTCTGTGAGGTATAATTAAAAGTAATGTCGGATCCATCCATTGTGAAACTACCGACATCGTTCAAACCTGTCTCTTAAATATTTTCATCTTGTTACAGATATTACAACCAGCATATTCGTATAAGTCCCGGAGAAACTTCACTATTTTCTTTTTATCTCAATGATTGTTCATAATCGTGGTAAAGTAATACAAATTCACTGGATATTTGTCTATCCAAAAGGCACATTCTGTGTGTTCTTATTTGAAAAATCTATGGCATCATGTTATAGCCTTGTGGTCGTTGGTTCTCTACTATGCATCAGGGATGACTCATCTCTCATTGAATGCGTCCCCGTTAATAGTAATTGACGTCTCACTAAGTCAATCAGCAAATATGTTCCACAACTATTTACTAAATATATTGTTATAAATACCTCAACTAATCAGATTACTGAATTAATGGAATAGCAACTTCCTGATTCCGCTTCAGGATCAGATTCTGCTCCTCCTGTTTCGATTTAGCATAATAGTATCACACATTATATATGGATCATAGCCTATTGCACAGTCTAATACTTGGTTAGTGAGTAGTACTGATTCACTAATTACACTTCAGTCCCCTTAACTAATAGTTTCTATGATGAGTCGATCATGTATATAAAGGTAATTTTGCAACGTCCAACTAATTTTTAATTATATATGATGTCAGGTATATCATTAGGTAAGGGAATCTATCAAAATATTTTTCACCTTTAATTTATTTTTGGTAATGTTCTTGTAGATCCAACTTTGACTGTCACCGTTGCCGTGTGCATGATTTCTGTGGTTCTTATTTTGAGTATATCTTATTTATTATATTATTCAAATGTCAACGTATCTGGTGATCTTCTCAGTCTTATTATTACACCTAATACTTTTAAAGAAACTATCATTCCTTTAACTCTTGCAATTATCATGAGTAGGTAAGTTGAAAGTAAAAATTTGCTTGAAAAATCATAAACCATATGATATTTATGATGTGAAGATTTTGTGGTTATTCTACTAATCTAGTCCATATAGCTTCTTTTCGATGTTTATTTATTTATTTATTTCAACACATAGATATTGGTACAAAGAGGCACCAAATACATATGCGCCACACAAATCTCGCTTGATTTATGTGAGGGCTGTGATACTGCTGGGATGCCCAAACCGAAGCAGGTGGTTTTCTTAGGGAGCCACTCCCCGAGCCTTCGACCTGACGGTCTGATCCACAAGGCAGTGGAGCATCGTAAGGAGATGCAGTCCCATGGAAGCCGGTGATTAACAATTGGTTCACACTCCATTTTTTCCCTCAGGATACTGGAGCCCATGTGCACCATTGGTTTGGAATCCGGTTAAAGCGCCGGACATGCGCTTTTCGTCCTCTCATTTTCGTAAACACATGTGGTTCAAGAAGGCAGTGAGTAGGACTTCCCTGGCAGAGGCTATTTACGATGTAAATGTTATTTGCCTACTGACTACGTACGTAAATGTTATGACTGGTCGTCAATTGTTATATCAGAAACGCTTATTAATTATACTTGAAAAGGGAGGAGCCACCGCGATTCCCACGACGCGAAGTAAGAACACCAAGACTGGTACAAATGAAGGTTTACTAGCCCCAAAACACGACGACCTCAGTCAAAATTACGTTCATATATTGATTGTATACCCATTTTGATCATTAATTAGGATAGAATTATATATATGAAAAGTACCCAGAGTTACAAAAAAGTACATGTCGCATGTCATGTTGAACATAGTTCACGTTGATTTAATACAAGAATATCATAGCTTCAACAAACATCACGCTCAAATGAGTTAATGTTATAACAAATAGATTATCATACTGGAAAAACAAAACAAATACTACATTGGGTAATTATCACACTGAACTAAACATACAGAAGTAATGTTAAACGAAATCACAATGTATTTTGTTTTTTAATCCCATCATATCAGTAATTTTTTTTCACTTGTGATAGTTTACTAGGTATATGTAGGTGGCATAGTATGTTTTCTCAAATAAAAACATTTCTTAGTAATAATATAAATTTCGGATTAATAAAAGTGTCTTTCAGAAATAAAATTAAAGTTATCAAATTCAGATTCCATCATAAACACCGTAGGATTTGATCCAATCGTAATTCAGTCCAAGTTACCGCACTACGTTACTTCAGTAAGATAAAACTAACATGATACACATCAAGTGAGTCGATGTGATAGTGATGTGTATGTGAATGAATTATACTAAATATATGGAATATAGTTAGTAAAAAGAAATGAATTTGCGGAAAAAATAATATTTAAACTCAAAATCTGTGAATAGATGATGAATGAATCCATCTTCTCCAGTGTGCAACTGTTACCTAACGTTAAATTCCTTAAGATGCACGTTTCAGTTTACTGTTTACAGCTATAGATTCTCTCATTAGTTCATATATTTTCGATCAAGTTTTCACGCGTAGTTTATTCCATCATTCAGATGTAATCTACAGTATACTCATAAATTGATATAAATTATCTGTTATAGAAAAACTTTATTTTTTAAATAAAGCCATAAATGTCCCCACTTCATTAGAATTTTTCTGTAATTTACGCAGTGATGTATTTGTTCCCAAATATTGACTCTTGATGGTTTATACTAGTTGATGAAGTAAGAAATATCTACATTTTGTTTAGAAAAAACTGCTCCTAGATACGTCTGGATGTGGTGAAAGTTAGAACTGTTGTATATTTTCCCTCTGTATTCGTATAAAAGCGCGATTAGCTTCTTGTAGTTCAAGTGCCTCTGTTCATACTTCCTATTGTTTGAGAAATCTTGGCAATCTTTAACTGTTTTCATCTTATTCCCATTCTTTTCCTGCATAATATTTAAAAAAATTATTGTGTTAGGTAATATCGAACAATTTCTTTCTTTTGTAAATGAAACTTTTGACTTTACTAGCATTTGTGGGAATATATCCGCCCGATTTCTGATAGATTGGCCCATTATTGCGCGCCTTCAAGTCCCAATAAATGGTAATTCATCTTACATATACTTTTGTGAACTTGTTTTAACCACATTGTGTGCAAAAGCGAGAATAATACCATTTTTATATACTCGTACGTACTCCATACAATGTAGTTCAGTATTTGAACTTCCTATTAACTGCTTGCAGTCAGACATAAAACTAAACATATGTTGTTTGTAGTCTTGTAAAAAGATTTTATACCTAAAATAACGCTTGACTTAATCATACTAATAAGTATCTAATTTGGAAAACAACTGGGCTTTTCCTGCATTGTTTGAAATTTATTTTGCAGTAAAATGATAATGTCCCTATTTTCAGAACCTTTATCATTTTCTAGATCAGTAGTAGTTCCACAAATTATGAAACTCATCTCATCTTAATAGTTTACATAAGTTAGTCATCACGCGACTTTTCTATTAAATATTGCTTTTTACTCATCTATTAATGTACTTCGTAAATAATGTGTCACGTAGTGATATGTTCAACTGTGAAAAGAAAAAAACCTACAATAATTGTCTTGTATAAGTTGAACTTTCTTCGTAGTTATAAGTTTTAGGATTGATTTGTGATAAATGCGGCAGTTCCGTTGGATACGTTTCTAGTGTAACTTACCAGTTCGGTTATTTTATGTTGAAATGTATCTGATAGTGATTGATTTAACTGTTTAGTTTAGAGGTATAAGAAACTAAATGTCGTAGTTTGCTTACATCTAGTATAGTTAATCATCAAAGTAACTTCTTGCGCATAGCAACAAATCTATATTTAAAATATTCGTAATACTGATTGTTGTGTTTAATAAATGCAATTTTGCATTGTAAATAATCGCCTATGAGTATATAATTTATCGAGTCATTTGCTAAGTGCTACAAATCAATCATATGTACAATAACAATAATTTTTCTTGAGCTTTTGTCATCTAAGAATATAATATTTCGTGATATATATAGACAGTATAACGTTGTTAGTAAACGTTTGTTATTTTTATGTACATAACGTTATGTAATTTAAAGTGCGATAACCATAAGTAACGACAATAATGTTAATTCTGTTTTATTTGTGAATATAGTTGCATACTATTCCACTATCTCATACCCACTGGTAAGCGTAGTAATGTTCAAAATAGCAACCATTGTAATTAGTATTTCAAAAGTTAAGAAACTGATTACGGAGCCTTAAAAAGTACGTCAATGTCTAAACGGAAATCAGTGTTTTTTACATTTAGGTATTCATGAAATATTAAGACAACTTTTCAGTACTTTGACATTAAATATTTGTAAGACTTGTATTGTTATTTGAAATTTATATTATCCTCAAATATTATTTTGACTTAAAATAATAACTAGTAATTTATTGGGCGCTATTCTACAGATATCGAAATTACATAGCATTGATTAAAGTTTTTAAGTAATTCTATTTAGTGGCACATTTGCATCACTTGTGAATTATATTTTGGTTTCATAGTATTGTGGTGTGTGCTACTGATGTTAACAGATACAAGTAGCATGTATCGTCAATCGAAACTGAAGTGCCTCGAGTCATAAAGTTAAGAAGATCGAAGAAATAGAACGAGAACAAAGAATCATTGGTGTGGAAACGAAACAATGAAGTCTGATACTTGCAAAAGGAACATTCAAGTTTGAGACAATTGATTGAATTGCAAATAAAGTATTTACTGTATGGTTCTCAGATTTTACTAAGATGTTCTGTTCGATTGTTCCCACTTATGTTCTCGCTCACTACAGTATTATCGAATTTGTGTCATTAAACGGTAAGGTTATTAAAAATCTAGTCACCGGTATGAACAGTGACAGAACAGTAGGGGTTAAAATTATCCTGTGATAACCATACAGGGATTAGCTTGACTAATATAGCATATAAAATACTAGCCTCAATAATCATCGGGTGCCTATCTAAGATTCGTGAACTGCAAAAACGTGAAAATCAGATTGGCTTCAGACCTGGTCGTGGCTGCATCGACCACATATTCACCATTTGTCAGGTTCTAGAAAATAGGCATACTTATCGGCGTCCGACAGTGGTGGTCTTTCTTGACTTAAAAGCAGCATTTGACTCGGTAGACCGCGAGATTCTGTGGCAGTGTCTGTCATTGAAAGGCGTACCTCAGAAGTACATAAACTTGTGAAGGCTCTTTACTTGAACGCTACTGATCGAGTCTGAGCTTATGGCGAACTGTTATCTGATTTTGCAACCTCGAGCGGTGACCGGCAAGGCTGTTCACTATCTGCAATTTTGTTTAACTTAATTATAGACCTACTGCTGGGAATAACGCTCTCGTCCTCTGAATTTTCGGGAACTCATCTCCTACCGGAAGGTCCATATATCGACTTAGAATACGCAGGTGATATAGTCCTGTTTGATGAAGACGCTGATCAGATGCAGAGTGTATTGACAGCACTGAGCGACCATGCCAGGATGTTTGGGGTGTGTTTTTCTGCCTCTAAATGCAATTTGTTGCTCCAGGACTGACCTGCGTCAACACCTGAACTAAGGATAGGGAGTGAAGTAGTCGAACGCGTTGACAACTCCACTTATCTTGGAAGTCTGACCAGTCCAAATGGGTTGGCGTCTGACGAAATCTCAGCACGGATTCAGAAAGCTCTTTCGGCTTTTACCAACTTACATCATCTGTGGCGAAGGCGAGATATCCGTCTATCTGTCTATTAAGGGACGAGTATACTGCGCGGCAGTCCGTTCTGTTTTAATTTACGACTGCGAAACGTGGCCATTTAGAGTAGAAGATGCTCGTGAGCTACTAGTAATTGAGCACAAATGCCTTAGAAATGTTGCTCGCATCTGCTGGGATGACCGGGTAAGTAATAATGAGGTTAGATGCAGAGTATACGGGAATGATGATAAATCAGTTGATGAGGTCGTGAATCTTCATCGACTGAGATGGTTGGGCCACGTGTTATGTATGCCTGGACACCGATTACCATGGCGCACAATGCTGACTAGTGTTGGGGACGGTTGGGAGAAAGTTAGAGGCAGTCAAACCAAACGTGGCACCAGTCCATGAAGTCACTAACATCTGGTGTGGGCCATGTTGGTAGACGCAGACTACTTTGTCGGGGTCTGCGGGACTTTCGTAACCAATGGTTAGAGACTGGGTGACATGGCTGAGAATCGGTCACAATGACTTAGGTGTATACACTCTTTCTTCCCTCAAACTATGAGATTAAAATTGCTTTATATATTTCTTTCTACGAACTAATTCTTTCTTCCTGTACCATATCATTATATGCAATCTTTCTTATATATATTACCACCATTGAATTAACTACTTCTGTGAATTCGGTGTTTATCTTGTTGTGCTAATGCGGTATGGCAATTTGAACCGATGCATATATGTGTCTGGTCCTACGTTGTAGCTGACTGGCACACAAAAGTGTATTATTTGAAGGAAGATTGTGCTCAGTCATTCTTCCACTTTACGTTAGACAATAAACTATCCGTTGCTGCTTTCTGAAGGGACTCGAATTCGATGTACTTAGACTTCATTATATAACTTGTGACAGTTGAATACTAGTTCCTTATTTTATTTTGAACTATCTGAGGAGTTTCAATTCTCGCTTTCACTGTATTCCAGATGATTCATTGACTTTTGTCCCGTGATATTATGTAGTTATAAGCTCGTATTTTTGTGTTGTCATCATTAGGATGTTTTTGTCTGTGACGCCGAATTGTTGTGATCCTTCCATGCTTAAACCGAATATTGAGATAGTAAAACTAATCGCAATTTTTACTCTATTATGAGACTGAACTATTCCGATACTTATGCAAAAAAGATATTTACTTCAGCTTCCATCTCAAGAATGTATCGTTATCTATTCACTTAATTAACTCTAATTATAAAGCACAAATGCTCTAATCCTATATCATCTATTGTTGTTATTTTTCATAGTTTAGTACAATAGGGAGGATGTTACGAATGTTATTACATCCAAAGCAATCTGTAACTGAATATTACAAATATTTATGTACCACACATATTTATCAACTGTAAGCTTTTTTAGTTGAAGTGATCGTTTAATCACCAATTATACTTTGTACAGCCTATGATGGTGTTAAATAAATTATTAACTTGTATTGATTTTATATTCTCACATATTTCTTTATGCTTTTTTGTTTGCATGTAGGTGTGGGGGGGATTTTTGGTTCAATGTTAATTAGCAGAATGACAACACGCCTGCATTCAATAACTTGTTCAAAAAAGCCTCCTCTGAAGGAGTCGTTCATTGTTTCTCCAACATCTGGTCTAGTCACGGTTGAAAAAGTCAACACTGTGAACTCTGATAGAAAATCTATAACTCATAATTCACATTTCTACACATCATCTCAGTCATTCGGAACATTGGGATCCTGTAGAAAAGTACTTGAAATTCATACTGATGTTTCACGGGTATCTAAACTTATCAGATTCCTGTGTGTCCCGTTACATTTTACCTTAACTTTAGTCAGTTTAACTGTCAGTTATTATTTAAAACAGGATAATTCTCCAAAGATCACATCACCTCTGCAGTTTGACATTTTATTTCCTTACCTCATCGCTGGATTCATACAGGTAAATTATTTTCTTATTTGCTTGCTGATTACTATATATAACTGGAGATTAGTCTATTTTTTATTGAATCAAGTTCCCTAGACCTATGTTTTTGCTAAAACTTATCTTAACAAGGATCAAATAAATATCCGATTATGAAAATCCTATATGTACTACCAATATTCTGAATCTTAAGTATTTTTATCTATCATTTTCGTATTTCCTCTGGATTTGTCACTCACTGTATGTGGGTTAGTAGACCCTGCGAAATCGCTAAAACGAGTGAGATTGAACAAACTGCAATACTCAATGATACAAAAGGGGGTCAATAATAATGATAATCCATTATATAGGAATCTATTGAAAAGTAACATGAATATTATTGTCAAACAACTTGAATTGGTCAATAGCACACTAAATTTTTTTCTTTTACTTTCTGATCAGTGGATTTCCTTGGATAATTAGTTCATACCGTTAGAGAAGACTTAATTCATCAGTTTACACAGCTGAAACTGTAAATAACTTTTAATGACATTCTTATAAAACTAGCTAATTATTGATTAAGTGAAATAAACTGTTCAAAATCTGGAAAAACAAAGTTATGACATTTGGACTATTGGGTTTAGTGCACGACTATGTTTCCCTAAGGTCTCTAGTCACTATTTTGTATTGTTTCTAGAACTTCATTAAGGTAGTCTATACTCATCTACACAAACCAGACTAATAGTCAGTGCTTTCTTGATAGACTAATGCTATGTTCACAACCAAAACCTCCTATTCAAAGGGCGCGCAACAGCTCCGACATCCTCAAAATGAGCTACGATTATTAATTTGGCTAGCATTGGGCATGAGGTTACACAGTAACTTAATATATGTAACATATAACTCAGTTGTTTCAATCAATCCAGATACATCACTAAATGTAACCCAATTCATACAGCTTATAAACTCTAGCTTAATCATATGTTTTACATCTCCTAGGTGTCCAATCAGTGAATGTCTTGCTTTTACCCTGCAAGATCGATGGTGGTGAATGTTTTTTTCCTTTTGAGGTCATTGGGAGTGCACTAACAAAATTTCCTACAACCAATTGATTCATGTATAATACATAGAAAAATATAATTGTATTTTTTTCTTGTTTCTCTCGTACTATTACTTTTAGATATGCATACTTCTCGAGTTTGCGAAATGGATTGTTTTCAAACTTTGGAAATATTTACATTCTACAAAACATTTAAACTCTCATGATAATGTTATATCCTTAGCATCAATTGATTTCTCCGCTATAGCTGTCACTACCGGTGCAGGTGATCTGATTGGAACAAGTTTATTCATTCTATTTCTATCTATTAGTAAATGGATTATAAGCGGTTGATTTTCTTTTCGTTTTTTTTGTGTGATCATTCTGTACAATTAGTTCTTTGATGCTTATATTTCGTTGTTTGTTGTATATATGAAAATATTATTCTCCTTCTTTCATATTAACATGATTGATATAACAGTTGTTTGGACGAATTAAATCTTCTATACTTATGTAATATCTTATAAAGTTTTTTACATCATGTCAGTATAATTTTCAGTAATTTTTTCTACATGTTTATCTTAATGTCGAGAAACATTTAAAGGGAATATTGTCACTAAATAAGTTGTGATACTTTTTTGTGTATTTTGCTAATATTATAAGGTTTAGAAGTTTATATTTTCAACTGGATCTTAAAGGGGTTTTGTGATGGTAATGGTTCTTTCCTTTGATTATTAGAATTTGTTACTATTCAATTATAATGTTTCTGTTGAAATTATAATCATTCATTTGTATTCTCTCTATTTTCCTCTCCGTTTACAAATATTCCACTGTGTTTATTTATACCTGTTGATCCGATTAAATCTAAAATTTTTAAAAATATAATTGAATTATGCAAGAATTTATTATTTCTGATTAGATGTATAAACTATGTTACTCAGTTTAGCATTGAACAACAACTTAACCGATTGTGAAAACTCATTCAATAGTTTTATTATTAGTCGATAATTAGAATAAGTATTAGTATATGTACAGTATTTCATATTGGTAATTCGTAAATTGTAGTTATTTGATTTGAGAGAACTTGTTTTAATTTTACGAAACTCTGTGTTTCATCTATTTAATTTATTTATCTGCTTTACAAGTGTAGACATGTTGATGTATATTCGACTAACTATCTACTACGATTAAACATCTAAGAGAGTATGAGAGAAAAAAGAATATTTGGTTTCAAAATGGACTGGGTAAATAAATACTGTTGTTTATTTATTTTGACTAGATTGTTTGTTAATAGCTAATTACTACAATCAATTATTTATTAAGAGAAGAATCAAGTTTTGTTTACTCTAGTTCAGTAAAACTGGTCATTTTCTTACCATTGGAATATACGCCTTAAGTAATATGAATATATACATGCATATACATAATAAGTCAAATGGTTTCACCTTTTATTTCCTATGTGAATTATTTTCACGCATTGTCTCTGTATATATTGTAAACTTGCTTGTTTTTTAGTTTTTTTTACTAAACTACACAACCGAACCCAAAAAATCAATAGATTATTATCATCAGTTTATGGGTTGTGGAGATTGTTAAGTTTTTGATTGAAATCATAAGTCAATTGAAGCTAAACCACCATGGAAAACCTGGAAGCACTGGACGGCCGTTTCGTCCTAGTATGGGACTCCTAAGCGGTGCGCATCCACGATCCCGCACTCCGCGAGACTCGAATCCAGGACCTATCAGTCTCGCGCCAGGCGCTTAACCAACTAGACCACTGAGCCTGCATCCAATGGTGTTAATGCTTAACCTCAACCAATCCACGAAATTGCGCGACCATCTTCCATTGTACTGAGGTAGACACCTGTTTCTACCCGACACGGACTAACTCCACTGGTCACGGCTTCTCACCAGAACTCCGAGAATTTTCTCACGGAGCTAGTCACTAGTGAGCACATGGTAATTATCAGTTTATGGGTTGTTGAGATTGTTAAGTTTTTGATTGAAATCATGAGTCAATTTACAAAAAAAAAATTTTCAAAATTGAACCAATTGATTCCTACAATGCACCGAAATAGAATAAATTACCTACTGATTCAAATATTATCTTGAGTACTTATATAGTAATAATCAATAGATATAGAACTTTTCGGTGATCTGTAGCTTTTAAAGCATAGTACTATTCATAGTTCTTCTTAACTACATGAAAGGTCAGAAATCCTATTAGTCTTACTAAGTTCAATATAAATAAAATGGCTACCATTAAGAGAATGTCGTGTTTAAAGCAAATTATATTTCTACTATTAATTGTTTAGTATGTTTTTATTTCATTTTTAGTAACCATTTAGTAAACTGTTCTTTTTACTGGCAATATGATCGTTGTGTTTGGAAAGCATTATACGTGATAATATGTATTCTGAATGAATCTGTTATTCTTATCAATTTTAACCACATCATCTTATTATCGGTAAACAATCTCATTGTTAGGCCTTTTAATCATCCGTTCCCAATTGTTGTCTAACATTTCAATAAAGTTGGTTTTAATCTCACAACATATTGTAATAACATTGTTATATTTACTATTCAAATATCTCATATTAAACTATCGTAATGACCGTAGAAAGCAAAGATTAGCACAATCTTGCTCTAAATTTAATACAATACTGTTAATTATTTTTTAACATAAAGTCCAATTCATATTGATTTCCAATTCCTTTTTAGAAATCTATTCACTGTTGTATAAAATATGGCCATTTTCAGGTTATTATTTAATATGCACATTTGTTTTATAGTGAATTGGAAAGAAAACATCAAACCGAATTCACTTTTTAGTAATTAAGGTCAATCGTGGGACATGCAAGGTAATAAAAAGTTTCTTGATATTAATTCATCGGTGAAAGTATAGTATAGACGCTGAACTTAAAACAACTGCAATTCATTTTCAGACAGTTATTAGTCAATCAGAAAACTTTGCAAGATTCTATAGTGGTTAAAAGTAATATTTCGCAATTATTCTAAATGCTTTGAATAGTATGAGAAGATAATTATGCTGGTTGTTATACGTGAACTTTGAATTTCTCGTTAAAGCCTAAAAGTCGCATTTGTGATTCTGATTGATTTATCCTTATTCTAGACTTTTACCAATTTATCTTCAATTACATATTTTGAATTAATTCAGTTCATAAACAAAATGCTCGAAACTAACTTAATGAATTTTAAATTCATTATGAATATCTGTGAGAACAGGTATTATGATAAATGTGCATTTACGCTAGTTGTAACTGACTGATTTTTAATTTATTGTGTCGTCTCTATAATACACGAGAAATATGGATTTAGTCAGTGTTACATGTTATTTTACCATTTCATTAAACATTCTGGTTACATTATGGCTAGTTTCTTGAAAATCCTTTATCCTCGTACTTGTAGATCACCTATTCTTTAACTGTACGAATATTACAATTCATTGTTCCTATTTTTAGTCTGTTCTGATTGGCTAATCATTAATGTTAATCTCTTCGATATTCTAAAACACTTATGATATTATGTATTAAATAATAGTCATTAAGTTCAAACCGCACTGTCACGGCGTTTGGTTTGTTTTCCTCTTCATATGTTTTCGAGAAATGAAAAGTAGTTCAAACGTCTAATGTATTATGTGATGGCAAAATGTGACCAAAGAAAAACGTTTACGGATGAAGACTAATTCCTGCTAACTAATATTAAAAGATGTTTTCATATATTTTTGTGAATATTAACAAGTTAAATGGGTATTAAATGCTGATTTGTTAAAATACTGCATACTTATACAGAGAATTCTTCACTGCAATCAAACATACGGTATTGAATTAAACAATTATGGTTATTATTTGTTATTTTCTTCAATAAATTGCTGTTGGAATTCGCAGGTTAACAATAACGTATTATCAGCTAAAGTCACGGTTCACAGTTAGCTGAACCTAAATTACAATATTGATTATTCAGCTGCTGTGAAATTACTGAATGTAAGATTAAATAATTCTGATTCTTAGTGCCTAACCTAAACAGTTATGACCTATTCATCTTATCATAACTTAAGAATATCAATCTAGGTGGATTCACAACTTTCAATTTCAGAGAACTAGAAGTGTTTCTGTGTTAGTTCGAAGTATAGTTAGTAATACAGCCACAGTATGATAACCAAATTCGATTCATAACATGCATAAGTGGAAAAAAAAGCCAGCAATACTTCAACTTCTTTTGCATTATTTAACTGTACAGTTAAAGTGTTCATTTCTAGTGCATAATTGGAAACCTGTTTATTATAAAATCAATAATGTGAAATATGACTTGAGTCTACACTAATAAGGAATAAAATTTATAAAAAAAGGTTATTCTTACATGTAAACAAATTCATATTGATGTATTTTAGTGTCATTGACAAAGTATAGGTACGAATGTAAAATCAGTTTTTATTAAAATAACAAGATGTTTAATTTTCATAATAAAATGAAATATCATTAGATCTGTATCAATAGAGTTTGTTGCGAACTAGATTATATAAAACAACTGGTTATTCAATATAATCATTTCAAAGACTCAAACAAATAGTTGCATAGAAATTCCTTACAAATTTTACGTCAGCTGTTTTAACGATGCTATTGACCAGTGAGTGCTCTTATAATTTGCTTTTATCCTACTTTTTTTGTATAGTATTTATACCGATCAACAATCTACATCAAACTGATGTTTCTTCAGTATACGGATGGCAGAATTTTAATTTGTAATATAGATTTTCTCTTTTTAATTAATCATAATGAAAATAGTGGGAGTAATATGTACATGAATATATTTCAACTAACTAAATATATAATTGAGATCATTAACTGATCAATGTTAGACCACCATTGAAAACCTGGAAGTACTGGACGGCTGTTCCGTCCCAGTATGGGACTCCTCGACAGTGCATACCCACTATTCCTTTATCGGGACTCGAACCCAGGGCCTTCGGTCTCGCGCGCGAACTAAATATGGTCTAATGTTGTTCGCATAAATTTTACCAGTTGTTTGACGTGAGAATTATTATTTTTTAAAGATCACTATGTGATATCTTTTAATTTTTATTGACATTATGGCTTTTAGTGCCGTTTATAATTGCAGCTACGTGAAGAATTAACACTCCGTTTATAATTATTTGTATTTTCCCATTAATAATGGAAAATGAAAATTTAAATAACATATTTTTCTCAATAACTATGAGACCATCTGATAGAATTAATATGAATTCAGCTAAAAACTCTTCAAAATGGACATTGAGATCATAACTATTAAGTCTTTAATTACTGGGTGTAATTCAAATAAGGACAGATAATGTACTGTTGGAATTCAGTGTCCCGTTTGGTCATTTCAGAAATGACTGTCAAAAGTTAATATTATGTCATTGTTAAGTTTGTCTTACATTGTTTCTACTCTCTCCCTTTCCACTCCGTATATTGTTTTATACTACTTATTTAAATTCAGTAAGCGGTTGTATTACCAACAATTTTCACACTTATGTTGTAACGCATGTTGAAGTGTAATATTCTGAAATGTTCACATATACTTATAACGTT